AAAGAGGACCTTGGAAGAAGAAAGCTAAGAGTGCAAAGGAAATTGAAGCAAGGAAGGAGTGGGAGGCCAAATTTACCTCACCAAACATCTTTTGGAGGTATCAAAGTGCCATTTCTACTTCCCTTTTTCCCTTTTGTTGAGTTCTAGGGTTTTTATGGATTTTTAAGTTGGTATGATGAGCTATGAGCTAGATCTGAAGTTGTAACTTCAGATCTGGACCCTCCTTGGATTTGAGAAGTATAAAGTCACAGTATTGGTTGTAATTAAGGTCCCTCTTGAGCATGAAGTTCCATTAAGACCTTAGAATAGACATCTGGAGCCTTTAAGGCCATGCATTCACGTAAAGTTTTGCAACTTTACGTGATAAGCATGCCCTAGAAGCTTGGATCTGTGATTTAGAGCCGCTGCATGGCTCAAAACAAGTCTATATGGAAAGAGGACTGAATGGACTCGGCGAGTCACAAGGTTGACTCGGCGAGTCATATGAATATGGCCGGAAACTCGACGAGTTAGATGAACAACTCGACGAGTCCGATGAAGATCACCATAAGACTCGACGAGTTGAAGAACAACTTGGCGAGTCGGATGAGTTTTCTCTTGGATAAGTACGAGTGTGTATCTGTCGAGTTGCAAGGAGGGAACTCGATGGGTGGCCTTAGAGTTCGAACGAGAATCAAAGGAGCTCGACGAGTCACACCGATGAATCGGCGGGTTGGATTGCACTTCAGAGAGCTCGTCGAGTACCCAAGGGTACTCAACGAGTTAAGGTCAACATGGACTGTTGACTTTGACTAAGAACTTTGACTTTGACTAGGGTTGACTAGTGGGTTATGGGGTACCTTATAAGGTTAAGGAATCATGAGTATATTGTACTATGATGGTAGGTGGTGGAGCCCGTGTCAAGTGATCCAAGAGTTGGAGTTTACCCTTTGTGTCGACATCTGCAAGGTGAGTTATCCTCACTATATCGATAGGGGCTACTACACCAAGGCCGACCCTTTAGTTGTTATTGTTATGGTATGTTGCCTGTGTTTATGATCTGTTAGTTCGGAATCGAGGTAGACAATATGTTATGCTCATATGATCCGTAAGGATTGGTGTGTTAGTGACCTGTTAGGTCGGTACTCTAGTTACAGGAGAATTCTATAATTGATGATCAATGTGACATATATGTTTGATGTTTATATATGCATGTATATGATAGTATGTGCACATGGTTATTTGCTTGTGGCTGGGTTGAGGCGGTCCTGCTTTGTGCTGTAGGTCAATAATCCCTATGAGCGGTCCGGGAGACTGTAGGCCCACGTGGCGGACCAGTCATGCCGAAGGCGCGAGATGGATTCAGACAGACTGTAGGCCCGGTAGGATGGTCCAGTCAGGCTGGGGCCCCAGTATGCTTGATTGATTGAATTGATTATTACTGTTGTGGTATTGTCAGTATGGCATTGGTATTTTGGGGGTAGCTCACTAAGCCCTCAGGCTTACAGTTTTCAGTTTATTGTTTCAAGTACTTCAAGAGATCGTGAAAAGGCGAAGGCATGACCGTACCACTCACTCTGATGGAAAATGATTTGAAAACATTTTGTAAACAATGTTATGTGGTTTTCATTTATGATTGAAAAGTTTAAATTTAGTGTAAAATTTATGGTTGTTACAGTATCGTTAAAAAAAATTTAAAATGAACTGTATTTTTTATAGAAAAATAATGATAGGGCGAATAAACCACTTGGTGGTGAATATATTTAATTTTAATTTATTCAAAATAATGTTTGATTTTATTATTAAAAAAATATGCAATAATTCATATATAACTTATAAAATCCGTTGAAATATTATGCAATTCAATGTAAAAAACTATTTTATTGAATGATACAATAAACCTATGAAAAGTCTTGTAAAACTCACTTTACATATTATGCTATTTTTTATTTGATTTTTGCTAACTATCGGTCAATTATTGAAATAACATTTTATAAGAAGAAATGTCAAATTTATCTTTATAAATTCATTAATAAAGTTAAATGTTCTTTTGCAAGTACAAATTGTTTTAACAAATCATGTTTAAATCATTCTAACATGTTGTACATAATAAGTTTGATATTTTAGTTATACTATAAACTCTCAACAAGGTAACAAATCTATGAAGGTTTATAAATTTTGTTGTATAAATCATAACAAAAAATAATCTTTAACTTTTCATAACAAAATAACAAATCAATGGAGATCACCCACCAACATGCTAAAACAATCTATTTTACGAATAACTTTATTGCGTGCAATTATGAACATAATCAATTATAACCCATCAATTTCAGGATCGTAGAAGAAAATCATGAGAAAACCCTAGACGAACAATTATGTTCTTCTTAGACGAACAATTGTATTCTCTCATGTGTGGATATATATATTTAGAAGGTTAAATAGTGTTTAATATTCCACATCCCTTGTATTTTTAGATGACATTATACCATGAACAGATTAAAAGCCACTAAACATTTAAGAAACCATATATTCTCTGAAACAATTAGGAGGATGATATCAATGATTCGGTTTTGTTAACACACCGCCTTACACTATTCATTTTGAATGTTAGGGTATTATTGGTGTTGTAAATAATAAACAAAAAACTAGTTGACCTGAAAAGATCAAATTTACATATGAGGGTCCTTATCAATTGACACCACAATCAAATAGCAAGCGTCAAACATAATGTCTATAGAGTAAGTAAGGATTGCTTGTTCATCTCTTAATGGGTCTGTTAAAAGGTTGCGTCTGAATCGACCAAAGTCACATCATTTGGTTAGGTTTTATATAACTTCTTATTGGTTGGAGCACCCTTAATCGACTCTAAATCGTTCATCGATTCAACATATTTGAATGGCTCTAAATCATTCACCAATTTAACAGATTTAAATGAGAAAAACCCCAGATTATGTGTATGCATCTTCCTCCGATCAAGCTTCAATCCTAATGATACACTCAGGATTGCAGCTCCCCTCCCATCAACACTACCCTTCTTGTAAAAGTCATCTCTTCGACAACACATCCCCTCATTTTGAAGTCTCGCTTCCCACTAACACCCCTCTGGTTTTGAGATATAAATTAATTATCAATGATGGTGGCAAGCTCAATCTTCATTAGAAATCAAGTGATGGTATCAAGGAACCATTGATGTAACAATTAACATGTTATAACTATTTAATCTTTCTACATGCTTCCTTATGTTTCATCAAATTCTCATCGAGTTCAAATCAAGTGTTTATCAATATGTTCAACATATTAAGATGGTAGCTAAAAAATGTTTGAACCCAAAAGCATAGTATGTTGCTGTTGTCTTGAATTAGGGATGTCAACGGGGGCAAACGGGAGCGGAAATAGGTGCCCCCGCCCCCGCCCCCGAAATCATCTTTTGCCCCCGCTCCTGCTCCCGCCCCTGGTTCCCCCGTTTACACAGCCCCCGGTCCCGCCCCCGGTTACCTCCATCACCCCCGCTCCCCCGGTTCCCCGGCTTAAAATTACATTTTTTTTTTGCTAAAAAACGGCTTTGTTTATGGCAAATCTATCTATTTATTTAGGCAAACAGCAAGCATCAATAAAATGATTAAACATTCTCACTAGAGGTTGCAAACATCAAGCTTTCTACAAAATTTGATCAAGCATTCTTACTTGTAGCTAATTAATTGATAGCAACAATATAAATGATTAAGATACAATATATGAAATTAAGAAACCTGGAAAAGATTAATTGCAAGCATCGAGTTCTATAGCAGTATTCTACAAACTTCTACTTAATTCATTGATAACATACAATATATGAAATTACAAAACCTGGAAAAGATTAATTGCAAGCAGCAGAAATCAGTGGGAGTGATAAACAGAAATCGGTGAGAGTGAGAAGCAGAAATCGGTGAGAGTGAGAATTTAGAAGCAGAAATTGAAAGCAGCAGAAATTGATAGCAGCAACAGGTGGTATTTACTGTCAATTGTGGAAGGCTTCGGCAGCGGTGAGCCGGTGACGGAAGAAAGCCGAAGTCGCAGCCTCGCAGGTAGCCCGTGGGAGTTGGAGATTGGAGAAGTTGCGTAGGCAGTCGTCAGTACTCACTCGCCACTCGCCCATCGAAGACTGGGAGTACAGGTCGCTGACTACGGGAACGGGAAGGAGAAGGAAGATGAAGTCCTCGACGACTCGACGTCGACTCCTCGAAACTAGAAAGTCGCCCTTCCTATTTACCCCCCATTCGTGAGTGACGATTGAAAACGGACGGAAGAAAGATGAAGCCCTAATTTTTCATTTGTAATTTCCATATATATATATATATATATATATATATATATATATATATATATATATATATATATATATATATATATATATATATATATATATATATATATATATATATATATATATACGGGGCCCCCGCGGGAGTACGGGACGGAAATACTCACTCCCGCCCCCGGTCCCGAAAATAAACGGGAGTTAATATCGCCCCCGCTCCTGCTCCCGCTCCCGAATTTTTTTTAAAATTAGTCACGTACGGTATCGGGGTCCCACGGGGACGGGATCCCGCGGGAGTTTTTGACATCCCTATCTTGAATGTGTAAAGGACCTAGAATCCCAAATAATGTGATGATACATGCATGTTTGTTGGAGGTTCGTAAAAAAAGTTTTTTTTACTGAATTGATCCAGTTACATATATGAATGTGTGTATTAAATAAATAAATATTTTATCTAAATATGAGTTAGCATTATTATATGTGATACATGTATGTATAAAAAGACAAAAATGAATTAGAACTAATAATTGTGTTTAATCTTATAGAAATAACGATGACGATGACATTAAAACCGAATTGGTAAAAAACAATAATGATTAAAGTGGTGGAGACTTGGACGAGACCTTTCGTGGAAATTATTGGAAGAAAATTAAAGTAAAGTATAGTTTTTAAAAATTATTGCGTTTTATAGTTATTTTACTTTTAATTATGTAACTTGTAATGAAATTTGAAATAAAAATAAAAAATAAAAAAATAAGCCCAATCAAGTGTTTATTGATTCGGGTGGTAATGTATGATGAAAGCCAGGGTAAAAGCTCCGCCGATTTGACAACCCTCCAAAATGGGCAGCGTCGATCAAGCCTGTGGCGGTGATGATGGCGTTCGTAGTCGTAGCACCGCCGCCCACCTCCACCAATCCCGAGCCTGCCACCACTTTTTCACGCCCTACACTCCATAACATTCCCTTCCCCCCTCCAAAGGTCCAACCCCTTTCATTCCCACCTCCGACTTCGCCGTCATCTCCGTCGCTCAAGGCGTCGAATAGATACCAGACGCCGAGACCTGCAATTTCCGTCCACTCTCCGCCTTGTAGAGCTTCTAGGATTTCTGGGACCGGAAATTGGTACCTTGTAAAAAACTGAAATTTCTGCTTCAGCCAACTGGTAAATGCTTCATCCTGTCTTTCTTTTATTTACAAATAGTTATTTTCGTTTCACTTGTTTCGGATACCTTTGTGGCATACAATGATTATTGATTTATTGTATAAGATAGTCACATATAATTTAAACTATTTGACTTGGTCAATAACTTATTTTGTAATACTACACACCAATGGTACCTTAAACATCAAAATATAAGAGGAAACAAAGTACATGGATAAAAAGAACAATTCTTTTTCTCGTCTTATCATCAAAAAACAAAAGCCATGGATAAAAAGAACAATTCTTTTTCTTGTTTTATTATCAAGATAAAGATAAAATGGAGATGTTTTTTCAAGTTAGCATTATAACTACTGTGCTTCATCGCCAGCCACCCTCCACCACCATGGTAAAACCCTTCTTCTTATTCTTCCTCCTAATCATCTGCCTGCTGTCATCCACGCCGGAATCTCGCCGGCCACCTCCGTTTCCCAGAAAACCCTCACGGCTTCTCAAAACCCAAAACAATCTTGTTCAACTGAAGTACACTTACGAGACACGATACTTTGATCAGACTTTTGACCATTTTAGCTTCAATGATCTTCCCAAGTTCCAACAACGGTATCTCATCAACTCCAATCACTGGGTGGGTCCTAATCGTTTGGGCCCGATCTTCCTTTATTGTGGCAACGAAGGCGACATCGAATGGTTCGCTGTCAACACCGGCTTCGTTTGGGAACTCGCCCCTCGTTTCGGTGCCATGGTCGTCTTCCCTGAAGTAAAAGCCCTAATCACTATACACTAATTTATTCATTTGCAGCGCTTCAAGTGCATATTTCAGTCTAGTTACTGATTCAATTTTATCAAAACATGCGTGATTTGATTTAGCATCGATATTATGGTGAATCGATGCCGTATGGGAGCCAGAAAGAGGCATACAAGAACGCTTCTACTTTAGCCTATCTAACAGCCGAACAAGCACTTGCTGATTACGCTGTTCTAATCACCGATTTGAAGAGAAATTTGTCAGCCGAAGCGTCACCTGTAATCTTGTTCGGTGGATCATACGGTGGAAGTAAGATCTTTTCCATCAATTTCAACAAAAATTAAACAATCTCATCAAAAGATTTGATTTTATGCATGTTTTCGGATTATGGTTTTTGTTTGATTGAACAGTGTTGGCAGCATGGATGAGGCTCAAGTATCCTCATATTGCAATCGGCGCACTTGCTTCTTCTGCTCCGATTCTTCAATTTGAGGACATCGTGCCCTTGGATACGTTTTATGATATCGTCTCCAGTGATTTCAAAGTTTGTCAAAATTCTTTATTCCTCATTCATCTTCTTCGCATTTTCTTCAAGTTAACCTTTTTTTTTTTAATATATATATTTATATATTTGTTGTTGTAATCATAAATATAATAGCGAGAAAGCAGAAGCTGTTTTTGATACAATAAAGAAATCTTGGAACATAATAAATTCCGTGGGTCAGAAAGCAAATGGTCTTGATCATCTTGCCAAAACTTTCCATTTATGTGGGTAAGAACACAAAGAGCAACCCCTGTTTTCTTTTCTTTTCTTTTCTTTTTTCTCCATTATTATGTATCAGTTGTCTACACATTTTTATAAAATGATGTGTAAAAAAAGTATTCAAGAAAATGAGTGGCATACTGACTTTCTTTGTTAAGTTGTTTGTTTATTGTTTTTATTTGATGAAATGAAGATATAAATAAATATTCAGGAAACTAAATAAAGTGAGGATCTATCTGATTGGTTGGATTCAGCGTATAGTTATTTGGCAATGGTGGATTATCCATACCCAACAGAATTCCTAATGCCATTGCCTGCTTACCCTATAAAAGAGGTTAGTTGTTATTTTGTGAAATGTGAATTTGAGTTATCAAATTCTTTTGTCACATTCCATAATCATAAGGATTAAGTGTGTGTTTGAAATTTCAAGGTTTGCAAAGAGATAGACAATTCCCCTGATGATGGGAGTGGGAGTAGTAGTGTTTTGGAGCGAATCTTTAAAGGTGTGAGTGTGTATTACAATTACACCGGAAAAGCCGATTGCTTTGAATTGGATGATGATCCTCATGGCATGAATGGTTGGAATTGGCAGGTATGTATGTGATATGTATGTATGTATGTATGTTTGTGTTTGGAAACAAAATGATGACAATTACAATGTTTCTTTCAGGCATGCACGGAAATGGTGATGCCGATGTCTAGTGACAGAGACTCGAGCATGTTTCCGGAATGGGAATATAATTCCACTTCTTATGCCGAGGATTGTTGGAATCAATTCCGGGTCATTCCTAGGCCCACTTGGATTACCACGGAATTCGGTGGACATGTAAGAATAAATTTAAAAAAAAAAAAAAATTCCTTTTGTTATACAGCTAATATATATTTGAAAATGAAATGAGATTGTGGTTTTATAATTTGAATGTGTAGGATTACAAATCTGTGTTGAAAAAATTTGGAAGCAACATCATCTTCTCAAATGGTCTCTTGGATCCTTGGAGCGGTGGCAGGTATAACTTTCAAGACAAATGATTATCATTATCATTTGATTTTCTAATAGTTATTATAAGAAGGTAAGAAGGTCAGCGACTTGAACATTGTGCTCACAAAATAACATTATTTTAATGGATTATTTGAACAAAAACAAATATCTTGTTACCTATTTTTATGATATTTTGTTTAGATGTAAAAAAAGAAAAACAAATAACTAATTTAATTGGTATATGTTTTTGCAGTGTTTTGGAAAACGTGTCAGAGAGCGTAGTTGCTCTTGTGACAGAAAAAGGTATAACCCATGTCATACATTTTGTCTCATAACAAAAAAAAAAAAAAAAAAAAAAATTCTTTTTATCTCATCATCCATATTTATTTGATCGTGTATCTTCAGGTGCACATCATTTGGATCTACGTGCAGCCACAGGCGATGATCCTGATTGGTTGGTGAAGCAAAGGGAGTCTGAAGTTGAAATCATTCAGGGTTGGATCAATGATTATTACGACAAAAAGAAAGCCGTTTTTAACATGTAAACATTCTTGGTTTTTGTTGGTAGTTACAAATGTTGTATAGGCTTCTAAGGGAAACTTTTGTTCAATGGGAGTATTTTTTATTAATAAAAGCTCACGTAGTATGGTCCTACATAGGATGCAAATGATTTCTAGGATTATATGTTTGACAATTAATATATAAGAAAAGTACAAAGAATGCAAATGATTTCTAGGATTAATATGTCGTATTCATACAAGAGGAAACAACAATTAAGTGGTAAGTTTCAAAATTTAATGTTTATTCCACAAAGTTCATGTAAATGGTAAGTCTCAAAATCGACTCTTTGCATTGGTTCGAGTTAAAATCAACTCGTTTTCAAGAATTACTGTCATCATGATGGAATGATTCTTTTAGTTCATCGTATGTATACAATTAATTAATGTGTTTTTATTGTCGCATGCCTAAAACTTTTTCTTACATAATTCAAACTAGATGGGCAACCCCCGCGTTGCGGGGGTTGGATGCTACAGTTTTTTCTGTTGTCGGATGCTAAAGTTTTTTCCATTGTCGGATGCTACAGTTTTTTCCGTTGTTTGTTCTTTGTAAATGCTATTTGATCAATTATTTGTTTATTTGATCAATCAGGTGGTCAATAATTGGATTCAATATTGGGGTTTAAACCTCCCCATCTGGTTAAATAGTGCACTCTGCATAGACCCTTTGATACTTATACATGTAGAAACAGTAAGGACATGCTATCCAAAATGTAGGTGAGTCATCCACATTCTCGGCTTCTACTTCTGTTTCTATTTCCACCAGTTGCAGGGTGATATTGAAGAGACATAAGCTACATTACTTCCTTCATGCTCTCTTTTCCTTCTCATGTCAATGTGCACCTTGTATTCCATGTTTGTTTATACTTCATTATGTCATCAAATCTGTCAACAAACAAAAAACAAATACACATCAGGTAATGTTTAATGTTAAGAAATAAATGATGAAAATAGTTGAACGGGTAAAAAAGTAAACATGTTATAATTATCAATATTTTTTTTAATAATAACATCAACTTTCAGTCCTTATTTCGTGATTATGCTTTTGAGAAGCTTCATTGTAGTCAATCACATAAGATTGAATTTTTAAAAAGTTTAAGCACTAAAGATTTGGTAAAAATTTACGACTATAATTTAGGATAAAATATTGAAAATTCATCCTCAATTATTTTGTATTTATTAAATATATAACTTTTTCTACATTTGGTATTGAATGTAGTAGAGATTGTGATACCAGAGCTTGACCAGATGCAAACGGCTCATGTTATTTTGATTGCTGCTGAAGCAGCAATCTCATTAACACTTCCAAAGGAAAACCTACTAATTTGTTGTTGTTTCAGTCTACTGTTGACATGGCTAAGAAATTCCATTACCTATTATAATCAACAAAAATGGACAAATTTTCACAGGTATGTCAATAAGTTGGTGCATATTTGAAATACCATTCAAGCATTTTACCAAACACCCATATAATAGTTCAATCAAGGTCGTCGTTTTTTTAAAAAAAATCTGCAAAATTGTTATAACAAACATCACATAGACAAATCACACAACTAAAATTAATAACACAAAAAAGTAGCAAATGGAAAAAATAGAAGTTTTTTTTTTAAATAGATAGGTGTTGGGGCTTGATGAAGGAGTTGGTGTTACCTTGCATCGTTAGATGTATTTCATCTTCATTTGACAAAAATAGCCTTATAACACCGTGGTAAGCTCCATCTGAGTCACCTTGTGAAAGACAGTAAATGAGGAATTTGAACTATACATCAAACCCAAAACTTGAATAAAGGCAAAAGACATCATATTTATATGAATCCTATGTTAAGAGACTATACATACCTTTAACCACCATCTATTTTTTGTAATTGAGATATTCTTTTTTTGAAACCCATTAAAATTCTTTAAATCCTACAAATCATGAATTTTATAGCAGATAGATTTAAATGAAAAGAACACAATAAGACAGATGATAAAATTGAGTCTGTCTCATGGAGGTGATAGCGATGGACATGGTGAACTGTAAAATTCTCTATAACTGGTATCCAAGTACACCCATGACCTGGAAAGAAAAGTAAATGAACACATCAGGTTCCATAATATACAACATAAATTACAGAGGCTATTAAGAAAAGCATTTAAAAATAGGCTCACCTGAGTATGTTGTATCTTTGAATACCAATAAACTGCGTGGCATCAGTGCAATAGAGAAAGGAGGGTAGTTTTGTAAATTCCCATGACTGGTTTCTTGAATGTTGCTTGTAGTGTCTGCTAAAGTTGAACGAGGAGTGAAGTACATGACAACAGGTGATCCTAATGAAAGAATAGCCACCACCGGAAAATATGTGGACCCATCTTGGTGGGGCTATGTTTTCACCCAAAAAAATTGTTAATAAATGGGAAAGTAAAAAAGGGTAAGTGCAAAATACTAATTTTTATCGATTTAGTCGCAGTACAAACCATTATGCCTTGATTTGGAAGATACTCATTGATGAGGACATGATTGATTACAGAAGGAAACAAACACAACTCCTCCTTGATTTTTTCTATAATTTTTTGTCAACAATGGTGGTACTACACAGAGAAGAGAGAGAGAGAGAGAGGAGAGAGAGAGAGAGAGAGAGAGAGATGAACTATGATTACTCGTTAACTTGATCTTATTAAATCAAATGAAATCGTTACATATAAAATTCAATACTTAAGTTTTATGACAATAAGGTATAGTATATCTTAATCCCGAAATGATATTGATAAGAGAGAAGGATTAGGGCTTACAATCTTGAGGCAAAGGACCTTTTTCATGGACAATCCCTCCTGTAACAAACATCACACGAAAACAAAAGAAAAATCCCATCAATACCAACATATATTTTAACCTCCAAATTGACAAGTTCGTAGATAACAACAATGTCATACCCTAATTTTGCAATCTCCTGTTTTTCAGAGACTTCCATTTTGAAACCAGAGCTGTGTAAATCTATAAAATCAAAATATAAATCCTCGTTTCAATTTGAGAATAAGAGTTAACCAACTACACCACTGTTCTCAATTTCGATGTGAGAAATCACACTGTTGTCGAATACCCCAAAGAACAACAAAAAGGAGAGAAGATAGCAAACAAAAGATGTGTTATTAGATTACATACCTGATTTAGGAGTAGTTTTTGATCGGAATCGGAGATGAAGTCGGGTATGTAGTACAACATCGGAACTGAGCTGACTTTGAACTTGTTCAAATGATCTTTCAGTTCCATTTCCCTCTGTTTACAAATCGATCGGAAATTCAGAACCTTCATGCTATGACGCTAGGAAATGAAGAGGAGAAAGAAAGGTAGTTAAGAACAGTGATACCTAATTTGAAGGTGATGTCGGTGATCCGAAAAGTTTTAGCCGGACCCAAATAATTGGCATCCCATGAAGACGACGATTTTTCACAGAGAAACAGTGAAGAAAATGGTGAGGCTGAAGGGCACCTACAGATTCAAGAAGGACACCTGGGTTCAAGATAGCAAAACAACGAATCAGTTTACCAGGGGTTTATAAATAACAGTGTTGAAGAAGAAGTCGAGAGAAAGCCGATTTGTAGATTTGGTATAACGATCAGAGCTCTTTGAAGAACTTCAAACCTTTCTATTAAGTTTGAGCAGTTGTTTCATCGTCTAAGAAAACAAAAGCAGAAAAAAGTTGTATACATACGAACCTATAACCATGGGGTACGAAGGTCACCGGGCCAAGGCTTCACATGGAGTCGATGACATACGGCGGAGAGAGGGGGGATTCGCTTACCCGGGTTCCTCTTCAAAAGCCCTAAAATAGAACATGTGTAAACCGGAGACGATTGAGGGGTCACCTGGCTTATTATGGTGGTCGAGTGCCGATTGAGGGGTCAATCGGAGACGATCGAGGGGGTCACCGTTCATATAAAGGAGGAAGGCGAAAATAATCGGTCCGATAAAGAAGAAGGTGAAAGAAAGATTACTGAATGAATAAAAGGTTGAGTTTATAACATCCAAATATCCCCTCGTAAGCTATGCCATCTCAATGCTTGGAATGATGGCAGAGCAACAACTATGGAGAATCAACCTTCAAGCAAAGGCAAAAAACTTCCATTTCAAAGTCAAAGCATCTAAATAGTTACCAACTTGCTACAATTTCTTCCGATTCTCACTTTTCCTCAACATTCGACATCTCCTTATCCGATTGAACTCCGATAATAACACGATGACCAAACGAAAACCATTAAAATCAAGAATCAGTGGTTGCAGAACAAACAATATGAATATATATGGAGGTAACGATTTTGTGGGTAGAAGAAACAGGGCATAAAAGATCTAGATAATTACCAACTTGCTACAATTTCTTCCGATTCTCACTTTTCCTCAACATTTCGCATCTTCTGATCCAATTGAGCTTTGATAATAACCCGACGACCAAACAAAAAATCATTAAAATTAAGAATCAATGGTTGCAGAACAAACAATATAAACACTCATCTGATTTATGACCAGAGGTCGCATCAAGTGATGTGCAGTTTAAGAAGTTAACCAAATTCATAAGTAAAGTAACCCGAGGAACTCAGACGGTGGCGTTGACGGTTCTCAATCGGTGATGCAAAAGATCGATGAACCAGTTAAACCATGGTTTACCCCCGATTTCTCTTTTCCCTAACTTCTGTGTTGTGTTCGTCTTCCCTCTTGGCCGATCAAAACAAAAGAAATGGGTGGAGCCAAAGAACAGAATGGTGGAAATCAGATTAGATAACCTAGAAAATGAGTGGATGAGAAACCGGGTGGGGGGTGGGGGGTTTGAAGATAAGACAGAACCGGCAGGGGACCCTATCTTCTTATCTTTATATGACTGTTAATAATTTAAAGGACCAAATTGCCAATATATCAAATTTTAGTGCAAAAAATCTGAACAACCACAAATATGAAAACTTATGGGTTATTTTTGCCAAAAAAATCAGGATGTTCACTATTCCTAAAAACTATCCTCCTTTAATATATATATATATATATATATATATATATATATATATATATATATATATATATATATAAGAATGCTATAGTTGCTTCTATCATAGACTATGGTTGAAAACCATAAGTTGAATGGAAGAGGAAGTCATGAACTACCCATGAGATTAGTGCTTGTATAATGGTTTTTGATCAAAGATGTTAAACGACTAAATGATAGAAATAGCAACGCATTTGCATTTATTTGTTGATTATAACATCACCCTTTCATATTTTATTACATCATCTATCACTATTGTATTTTGTAGACTTCAGATGTTGCTTCCTTCAAGATTTGATCAACTGCGCATATGCAAATCTTGAAAATTAAACAATGAAACATTTTAATTAACTTATATTACTACCACTAGTACAATAAAAAAAAATTCCATATTAAAATTTGTCAACGGATTTTTTGTTATGATAGTGCAACATTTTTGTTCTTCCAAAAATCGTGAAGTATTTGATAAGTTTGCACTAATTTGCTTAATCTTTAGGGAAAATGACTCTTGAGGGTAATTAACTTTTGCGTTTGTACTTATTTGGTCCCTTTTTTTTTGTATTCAATATACCATTGAACTTGTTGTTGGTGTTTACCATAGCCCTTTTGACCGACTTTTGACCTGTGATAGCCGGTCAAAGGGTTATGGTGAACACAAACAACAAGTTCGATGGTATATTGAGTACAAAAAAAAAGGAAAGGGACTAAATGAGAACAAACGCGTAGTTGGTTACCCTCCTGATTCATTTTCCCTTTACTCATTTACAACAAATCTCACATCATCTCCTACTGATATTAATGACTTTATGAGATTCATTCTTGCTTCTCTTCAAAACATAACCTACGAAAGGACATTATTCATACATGTACAACTTTGTAATGCACTTGAATATTTATTAGGGGAATCTTGACTAAGCAGGCGCATTTCATGACTACATTTACATTTTCAATCAAATGATTTATCGTATCATGGATTCTAGACAAGTCTACAAACGAGTGGAACCACAAGTGCTATGATTTTTGAGTTTACTTAGCTTTAAGATCGAACTCATGGGATAAGATGTTGGATAAGGTGTCTAAGTCCATAACTTATTTGGTATATACTTGATCCGACCCGGCATGGTCCATTTGGGTTGCACTTCACCCGAACTATTTATGGATAATTTTATGAGAGTTATACACATATGATTATTAATATATTATAAGTTATAATATATTAATATGAAGTCATGTTATTTAATTAGTCTTAGTCTTAAATTAATTATGAATTAATTTAGAGATTAAAAGGAAGACTAATTAGATTGTGGGCTATTGGTTTTATATGGTGTGGGCTAACACTCATTTGTTAATGGGCTAGGCTTGTATGGAAGTCCATGGATGATCCATGGAGCTTTTAACCCATGGATCCTTGGAAAAGGAAAGGTCATGGGTTATTAGGGTTTCACCCTAACCATGCACACTATATAAGCATGCTTATGTTGCATGAAATAGCCACTAGTGTGTGTGTTTGTGTGTGGTTGAAATTATAGTGTGTATACACTCTCTCAAAGTTTTCCAAGTGTTTGTGGTGATTTGTGATTCCATTTGAGGCATTCACACTATTAGTGCTTGGCCCTCAAACTCCTTAAGAATCAAACTCATCAAAAAGGTATGTAATCTCATCTAATTCTTTTATGTTTAAAAGTACCCCATGCCATGTTAGATAGGTTATGAACCTTGGAAAATTATTATTTTTCATGTATTTAGACAAACATAGATCCAAGGTTTATTAGGGTTGCATGCACACTTAGGAAGTGTTAGATTGCTCAAAACCCAACATAAGATACAACATCAATATGTACAATATTATGGTGATGTGTCTACAAAAGCAACATGATATTGTACATATTGATGTTGTATCTTATCCCATGAGTTCGATCTTAAAGCTAAGTAAACTCAAAAATCACAGCACTTGTGATTCCACTCGTTTGTAGACTTGTCTAGAATCCATGATACGATAAATCATTTGATTGAAAATGTAAATGTAGTCATGAAATGCGCCTACTTAGTCAAGATTCCCCTAATAAATATTCAAGTGCATTACAAAATTGTACATGCATGAATAATGTCCTTTCGTGAGTTATGTTTTGAAGAGAAGCAAGAATGAATATCATAAAGTCATTAATATCAGTAGAAGATGATGTGAGATTTGTTGTAAATGAGTAAAGGGAAAATGAATCAGGAGGGTAACCAACTCTTGTGTTTGTTCTCATTTGGTCCCTTTCCTTTTTTTTGCACTCAATATACCATCGAACTTGTTGTTTGTGTTCACCATAACCCTTTGACCGGCTATCACAGGTCAAAATCTGGTCAAAAGGGCTATGGTAAACACCAACAACAAGTTCGATGGTATATTGAATACAAAAAAAAAAGGACCAAATGAGTACAAATGCAAAAGTTAATTACCCTCAAGAGTCATTTTCCCTAATCTTTAAGTAGTCAAATGAATGAAAGCTTCTTCAAAAAGCAAGATCGGGACTACTCAGACTTACCATATTTTATATTTTGATCTATTTTTACAAAGTGCCTTAAACATATTCATTAAAATACATAATTTTTAACAAATAAGCTATTAGAAAGTGGTTCCAAAATTAACTATAATAACATTGCTTTACACAACCAAAGGATTTTGATTTAAAGAAAATAACTTAACTATAATATTATATTAATGTAATTTCTAAATAGATTATTAACCTAGAATACGTATATCATAAAATAGAGCAATAATAATTTACCTCATCTTTAGTTTTTTTTAATCTTTTTTCTTCCACATTTTCTTTTTTATTACTTTAAATCCTATGAAATTATAATACTATGAATAATCGATTTTTTATAGGTTTTTTTTATCAAAATTTAATTAATATATCTTTACATTTCTAATATATTTAATAAAATTTCCTTATTTAATTAGTTATATTTAAGCACAAGTAGCATCTATAAAAACAAACAAACAATGATTCTTTTTATACACATAAAATTTCATAAACAAACAACTTAAAAAAAAGATAACTATTACATATATATTTTTGAAAATAAAAAATATATAAAACTATTATGTATATATTTATAAAAATAAGGATGACAAAAATATCATATGACCATTACAAATTTAATATTTAATTATGTGTGTATCTGTGCAATGCAACGAGACATAACAATCATCATTAGGGTCTAACTGAAAACACTTTTAAGAAAAAACTTCAATTTTAAAATCCAAATTTGTTCAAAGTAAGCTTGCAAAATTAAAATTGTCCCAAAATATAAACGTTTTTAATGTTAAAGTAGCGGGGTTGTTAACAAAAAACGTATCAAAACACAAATTCAAGATCACCACATAAGTTGCGGTCTTTTCGAAATCCAAGATAAAGTCTTCTACTTGTTGATTCTATTTTCAACCTAAGCATATGTCAAAACAAGTTAGGCAATGGATTTGCATAGTGAGAATACCCGAGGTAGATTCATTTTCAGTAAGAAATGACAATCTATCTTTCTCGAACCGGCCTCTAAAAAACCGTTTTTATTTAAAAATCATTTCCAAAATATGTAGGTGTTCTTGAATCAAATCTTATCAAAGACTATTTCAAATATATTGGATTTTAATTACCCAAAACAAGTCAAAACAAGCCTTTTCAAATAAGTTGGGATTTGACGATCCATATTTACTTTACAAAGCCACCAACATCTTTAAGAAACAATGGTTAATTAATCAATAATCAAAGATCAACTTGGTGCAAAAATAGGATAAGTAAATAAAAGTATTAATGTCATGCAAGATGCAACTATTCCCAAAACCCAAGTTTCTTTTAAGAAGTCAAATCTCACAATTTGATTGCTAGGACTTGAGTATAAAGAAGCATATTTCAAATATACACCATATAGTTATGACAAAGCATATTCCAAAAACAACTAATAAGGAGGATAAAAGAAGGAGCTTATTCCAAACAAACATCTCCCAAGCCTACATCATAGGCTAGGCATTTGTGAACCATCACATGAATAAATAATGTTTTTATAGAATCATTATCATGAATGAGTAAATGTTTTGATTATTCTCTGATTTCTTGAGAATACTTATACTAGTGATAATACGAAAACAATTGTAGGTGACAAAGTCGAGACCCGAAAAGGGACAGTAATAGTCTAGTTCGTGAACTTTATCATTTAATCCTTAAAGATAATAGGAATGGTTGTGTGGGGAAATTTAGTGAAAAAGTATTGTTTGGTTATGATGAAATTTTGAATCAACAGGGTTAATGTTTCGATAGCGAAACTAGGTCGACGGGCTAATAAGCTGTCATAAAGGAACCTAGAACATTATGTTGAGCATATGACAATAGAGTGATTCAATTTAGTATCATAGGGGCACAATACATAGACAATTCTTACTTGGGAAAACTAGAAGCGAGTGGCGGTGATCACACTAATTCACTAAGTTTGTGGTTTCGGGGACAAAATCATTGTAAGTGGAGGAGAATTGTAAAGTCTATAAGCTAGGGTTGGATATTTAAGAGATTTTAATTATAATTATTTATTTTTATTAAATAATTAAAATCCTCTATTAGTCCCAAAACTATATATCCAAATCAGTAATCAGTGAAGTAATAACAATCAAAATAGAGTGTATAAGAAGTAAAAGAGAAATAACATCAATCATGCACACATCTATAGCTCATAAATGTCATGTATACCTTGAAAGTACACACAGATAAATCACTGTTCATTCGTCACTCACTTCTGACACACTGACACAAACTAAAACTATTTATACCACCTATAGCAGCACACAAGAGTGCAACCGCACACACAGGAAAGACAACACACACCCACAACCAAGCTATAATTACTACAACACTCCCCATCATCCTACCAAGACCTATACAAAAGAATGCCTAGCCCAAACCATAAAATCATAGACCATCAATCTCCCCCTTGGTTTGTGGCTAGCATGAACTCAAGTCTTCATTCTCCAGGAGCTTTGGACAGCTTCATGTCAACTTTTCCCATGGATCCCATCCATAGCTTTCCATTTATGATAGAGGTGACCATTCTAGTGAATTCCTTCGTAGCAACCTTCATGACATCTTTTCTGCAAATAATTTGGTGACGAGCTAGGGTTCGAATGTCTCTCTCCCTAAATCTCAGAAGATCCTTTGCGCAGACGAGTCTCAAAACAGTGTCCCTGTTTTTGAACTTGATAGATGCTGTTGCTGTTTCATCATCAAAAGCCCAAAACTCCATATCATTAAGATATCCCTCCTGAAAATGTTGTTAGAGAGAGAGTGACATATAGAGTTTAAGAGAGGGAGTAGTAGGACATAGGCAAACTAAGTCAAAATATGAGATGTTGACCCATCATGGTGAAAGGCACACATGGGAGAAAAATGTGTGCTGACTTTTTTTTATTTTATTTAACCTACTCACAAGTTGCCTCGATTTACGTGACACCATTTTCGGTGCTTGTCAAAATATTTCGAAAGTGCCTGGAAAATGTCACGATTGTGATGATTTCAAATATTCGATTAGAAATCAAATCCAATATACGGATCTCCGTAAAACTGCGTTTGAAGTTTTGCGTCAATCAGGCTTCTAATTCGTCAATTTTCGTAAATCTGATGAAAAATACTGGAATAGTAAAATCAAATAGTAGATCGAAACCTGAGTTCAAAAACGTGCTCAAACTTAATTTACGAGGTGTGTAGCAACCTTAAACTAAGTTGTGTAGTGTTTGGTACCGGATAAAATCATGTATATACTTGTTTAAAAACTTAAAACATACATAACTTTCATATACGATCTCCATTTTGAACATTCTTTTATATCTACGGAATCCTGAGAACATGTTCTATCCAATTTTATCATCTATAGCCCCAATGTAGGTCAAATGCAAAAACTTGATTTTTAGGGCATCGGGTCTCACCGATTTTTGAACCATTTTCTGTCTGATGATGATGGTCAACTTTTAAGCATTTTGAGGTATCCTAAAGGCACTATAATAAGGGGTGGACCTTAGTGGAGCCCGGGGGGTCCCGAGCCACTGCTCAATTTCCGGCACGTAGTGTATTTTTTTTTTCTATTAGATGCATCAGCTTGAAATACGAGTGACACCTCTATTAAAACATTCTGTGCTAGTCACCGACTATAATGTTGTTCACGGTGAACAAACAATTTACATATTTAGGCCTAAATTCCGGGATTTCACAAAACATACGTTTAGTTTTTCAATTATATTAGGAAAGAATACATGATTGATATAAAGATGAAGTCCTACAAATATTACAAGGAGATCAACACAAATTACAAGAGAGATCAATACAAAATTAAGAAAAGAGATATGGATGGTTTGTTGGATAAGGTGTCTAAGTCCATAACTATTTCTGGTATGTACTTGACCCGACCCGGCATGGTCCATTTGGGTTGCATGGCACCATGCAATTGGATAGACTAAATGAGAGAAATAACGCTTGGAGATTATTAATATATTATAAGTTCTAATATATTAATAATATTATTTGATTAGTTTGATCAAGAATTAATTTAGAATTAATTAAGTGATCAAAAGATAACTAATTAAATATATGGGTTGATTAAGTAAATCATCCATATCTTGTATAGTGGGCTAAAAGGCTCCATGGATCATCAAGTTGGGTTCCACCCATAGGATGCTCCATGGATGCTCCATGGGAGTTACAAACCCATGGGTCATGGAAATGAAGAGTCATGACACATTAGGGTTTAACCCTAGGTGTGTCAACACTATATAAGGAACATGATCTCCTCCCAAATCGGTTACACATACACACTAAGAAATAGAGGGCTTGGCCGATTTTGTGAAGTGAGTATTCTCTCATAAGTTCTTCCAAGAGCATTTGGTGTTGTGTGAAGCATTTGAGGCATCACACTTGGGGTGCTAGGCTCACAAGGTTTCAAGGAACACAAGCAACAACAAGGTAAGTTATTCTATCTATACTTTATGTTAAAATTGTTCCCCATGTATGCTAGATAGGAATATAACCTTGGAATTCAACTTTGCATGACAATTAGACAAACATAGATCCAAGGTTATTAGGGTTGCATGTACACTTAGGAAGTGTTAGAATGCTCAATACCCATCATGGTTGACTAAGACTGATGGAGGTGGGCACCGATTTTTTTAATAAAAAGAAAAAACAACGTTAATGGAAAGTGATGATGGTAACGGGAAGCAACCTACAAACCTTTAACACCTAATAATATTGAAGGGATATGGTGTTCATGGGTGTTATTAGGCGTTATTAGCCCCAATAATGGGAGCGTTGCCCACTCCTAGTAGTCTTAGAATATATCGTTTTCCTCAAGGTAATTTTTACTATTATTTTTTCAAAAACAAAGATTTATCTCTTTCTCATTTGAATTTTGAACAATCGGTACCCCCAAAACGAAAAGAAAATGAATTTATTTACCGCTTTACAAACGCCGTCGTTTGGCAATAAATGTTTATACTGAAATAATAACATAAAGGAACGAAAAGTAAGCTGCAATCAGCTGTGAACAAAAAGAGTAAAGACGATCGAAAATCGAAAATCCAAAGAGAATCGTCGAACAGATCATCGATCTCGGTTTGAGGTTCGAGTGTTTTCAGATCGGATGGCGAGTCCTCATTCGGGACGATTTGCAGTTACTCCCACGACACCCAACAATTCGTCTAGGGTTTTGAGTTTCAAAAGCCCTTTGAGCGATGAAACCATATGGAAGCGTCTTCGTGAAGCTGGCTTCGATGAAGAATCGATTAAGCGAAGGGATAAAGGTTCACTCATCGCTCACATCGCTAAACTCGAAGCTGAGGTCCTCTCTTATGCCATTCACCTTGATTAATATTCTTCTTGGCTTTGGCTTTGTTTATATTCACTGCCCGACGTATATGTTATTCTTTGGTAATTAGGTGTTTTGTTTTTCTCTTTTTGGAAGGAATTCCATTAATGCATAGTGATAATTGAGTTTTAAAGCTTGAATTAATTTGCGACATAAATCGGGATGTTTAGTCATCTTTAGGGGGTATTGTGAAAAAACGTACAAACCCTAATGTTCAAGAAAACCTTCCAACTCCTCTTTTACTTGGATGTTAACTATTAATTGGATTCCTCAATTGGTATCTGTGAATTTGATGCAGATATACAACCTTCAAAATCAAATGGGCATTTTGATAATTGAAAAAAAAGAATGGATTACGAGTTATGAACAGATGAAATCAACCGCAGAGTCAGCTGAAATGACACTCAAGAGCAACCAAGCTGCCCATTTGTCTGCTTTAGCTGAAGCAAAGAAAAGGGAAGAGAAGTTGAAGAAAGCTTTAGGAATAGAGAAAGAATGTGTTTCCAATGTACGAATACAAATTTATTTTCATAACATGTTTATTGGTTTTCTCTAAACTGTTATCTTTTTGTAGATTGAAAAGGCATTACATGAGATGCGTGCAGAATGTGCTGAGGCAAAAGTTGCAGCTGAAATTAAATTAGCTGAAGCAAGAACAATGATGGAAGACGCCTTAAAAAAGATGACTGAAGCCAATTCAAAGATGCAAGTTGCAGAATCTTTGGATTTGGAAGCTTCTAGATCCCGTAGAGTTTCTGAAAGAAAGTTACATGAAGTTGAAGCACGTGAAGATGATCTTAGAAGACAGATAAATTCATTCAAATCAGAGTATGTTATCTTATCTTTATGAATATATATATATATATATATATATATATATATATATATACTTTTTGCCTTATATAGCACAGAATTAACTATATTTGGTGCTCTGTGTATGATACAGGTGTGAAGTAAAAGAGAAGGAAATTCTTCTTGAAAGACAATCTTTATGTGAAAGGCAGAAATCTGTGCAACAATCACAAGAAAGATTACTTGAGGGGCAAGCTTTGTTAAATCAAAGGGAAGAATATATTTCGAGTAGAATTGAGGAAATAAGTAGCCATGAAAAGCAATTGCAAGCTTCAAAATTAAGCCTTGAAGAGGAACGTAAATCCCTTAAAGAAGAAAAACACAATCTTGATACAAAAGCAGCCTCCTTGGATTCTAAAGAAGAGGTTTTGTTCAGATATTCATTCATTCTTTTTATAATAACTTATTATACTCCTACTCATTCTTTATTGCTTACAGGATATCACAAATAAGGAAAACGAGTTAAAAAAGAAGTATGAAGAGTTGCATATACAGCAAGAGGAAATTGCAAACAAGGAATCTGTAAGTTACTATTTAGTTTACTCCAAATGATATATATTTTTAAATTGGAATTACTAAATTTGTTTTTCTATTTTTTTCAGGAGAGAATTAAAAAGGCTTTGGCTGATCATGAAGCTGTTTTGAAGGAGAAGAGTTCCGAATTTGAAGCTCAATTAGAAAGAAAACTCAAAGCAATGGAGGAAACGATTGAGAACAAAAGAAGGGCTTCAGAGTTGAGGGAAGTTGACTTTAGTCAACGGGAGGATTTACTTGCAGAAAAAGAGCATGAATTGGAGGTGAAAGCGAGAGCCATTGGTGAGAAGGAAAAGGAGCTTTCAGAAAAAACGAATGCTGTTGAGGAAAAAGACAAAACTGTCCTTGAAGTCGAACGAGAGTTAAAGCTGCAGAAAAGTATATTAGAGAAGGAAAAAGAAGAAGTAAATCAAATGAAAATTGACCTTCAAAAATCCTTAAAGTTATTGGATGAAAGAAGCAAGGAGATTTTGAATGCAGAAGAGAAAGTGGAAGCCATGAGAAACGAAACAAACGAGTTGATGATTTTGGAACGAAGGTTAAAAGAGGAAATCGACATGATTCGAGCTCAAAAACACGAATTTGAAAGTGAAGCAGAAAAATTAAAAAAAGAAAAAGCAAAATTTGAAACGGAATGGGAATTAATTGATGAAAAAAGAGAAGAATTAAGATTGGAATCAGAGAAAATCGCAGAAGAAAGAGTTACAATCTTGAAATTCTTGAAGGAAGAACGCGATGTTTTGAAATTAGAAAAAGACATGATTCGGGAACAATACAAAAAAGACGTAAATACCCTTTCGAACGATAGGGAAAAGTTCATGAGAGAAATCGAAAAGGAACGTTCTGATTGGTTCTCCAAAATCCAAAAAGAAAGAACCGATTTTGTCTTGGATATTGAAATGCAGAAAAAAGAATTAGAGAATTGTATTGAAAAGAAACGTGAAGAAGTAGAAAGCTATTTAAAGGAAAAAGAAAAATCTTTTGAAGAAGAAAAGAAAAAAGAACTCGAATACATTTCCTCTTTAAAAGAAACAGCAAGAAAAGAAGCTGAACAAGTCAACATTGAAATGAAAAGACTTGAAAAGGAAAGAAAAGAAATCATTTTAGATCATGAAAGAAGGGATAAAGAATGGGCTGAATTGAATGATTCTATACAACAGTTAAAAGACCAAAGGGTAAAATTGGAAAAACAGAGGGAACTTTTACATTCTGAT